CCCCATAGGAAAGCACTGAGTCAATGCTTTCCAATAGGGATGGTCTAAGGCATGCATAGCGCTCGACATACATGCAGGTTAGGTTTCCCCCACTGGCTGACCTCAGCGGAGGGGTACCGCAACCCACCACCGTGGGACATTGGTGCTAGGGCTAGATAAGTGAAAGAAAGGCTTTTTTGACCCTTTAATAGACGGTAAAAGGGGAGAAGAGGGAAATGGGGGCAGTACAATAACAATATAAATATGAATAAACTGTGTTTCTGGATTCAAAAATTACATTTAGGCTTCGTACAATGGTAAGACAGTATCTTGGATTAAACAGTTGGAAGCCCCTTTGCATCTACTATATAGTATTCCCATCTATAACTTACATGATAACAACATAACAATTATCATTGGCCCACTTTAAAAGGATGTTGACTCCCGTAGGTCATTTTGTGCTTCTGTTTCATTTGTAATTATAAAATAAATGCAGTAATAAACTGAATTATTTTTTAAATAGAGGCTAATCATTAAGAACCTATATCCTTCCCTTTTTTTGGTAAATTGTCTTCTATGTATCTGTGTTACAAAGCTATATATCACTTATTTTACTCTCTTCTATCAGCCTATACTGGTAGTTCATCGAGAATTCTAAGCTAATTAGTAATGTTAAATAGTGACACAATACATTTCTTACAGGCTACTGAGATTAAAATTTAACATAATAATTGTACAGAAGAAACATATTGCAAAATTTTTCTCTTAGGGCTATTGTCATTGTGCAACAGTCCTTTCTTTCAGATCTGAGCTGGGTTTGGTGGTGGGAAAGTGGTAAATCGGACATAATGTCTTAACAAAATGTAAGCATTTAAACATTGATTTTCTGAGTTTTGAGTTTTCAAAAACTAACGCTATGGTATGGAAGGTAGGATAGGAAACAATAATAAAATTACAAATGTACTTAGTAACCATTTGAGGGTAGCTAAATCGAAAAAGAATGTTAGAAATAAAATTAGCAAGAGTAATGATTTCTAACACATAAACAGACCTAATGGTGGATAAGTGAGCATCCATGCTGGGTGTCGTAAAGCTTGTAATATTTTTTGTAATGCGTTTCACGTGAACAGAAATTGCACCAATTAAAAGGGAAGATGCAACTGTTACAATTATAACAGGAAGAGCATGTCCGAAGAAGAACAGTGGTATACGTTTAACATATAATACCGAACTGTTTCTATAAATCCCGTTCTTATAACACACAATCCCTGGGCTGTTTGTATTTTTCCAAGCATACATAACTCCAGAGGCAAAAGAAATTAAAGTAGATAGTATAATAACGTGCACTATAAACTGAGGCATTCGTAGTTTTATGCGAAGAAGGATGGGATTCTTAAAGATGGAGATTTTTATGTAGTACAGGACACAGAGCAACATAGCAAACCACAAACTGGAAAAATCAAAGGACAACTGAAGCATGTGAATTATCCATTTAAGAGAGATTGACATTGTCGGGTTGAATGCTTGCAAGATTATTCCAGATAAAGTGCAACCATCAAAACAAAATCTGGAGACGCCAACGCTAATCAGGATAATATCACAAGGCTTCCGTCTACTGCCTCCTGACCAGTCAATGAGATTCACAATGACAATAAATACATTAACTAGGATTCCCAAAACAGTGTTTATCAAAGAAATAACATCAAATGTTAAGCAAACTGGGTAAGACATTGTGATGTTAAAGCATAGGATTATCTTTGCTTAGTAAATCTAACCTCCTCTGAATATATGTGTGATACAGCCCATTTCTGTTATTCCGTAACGTAGAGTGCTGACGTACTTTCATTTGTATATGACAATCTTCTTTGTTTGATGCAAATTTAAGAGTGACAGCAATAAAATAAGTTGTTACCTAAGGAACTGTCAGCAGACAAATCAAAATGCCATAGTGCGAGACCTGCTAAACAAGTCAATACAAAGTTGTGCACATATAAAAGAGAGTGCAAGAGAGTCTAGACCAAATTCATTGCAGACCAATTTCATTGCACCCTACCTCCATTTTCACCATTTACTCTACCGTAAAACACACATAAGTCCTAGGAAACCTGGAGACAGTAGTAAGTGGTTAAAACATCTTCCTTTGTAACCGTCCTACAAGGATACTAATTCATTATTCCTGAACATTACCTGACATGACACAATGCTTAAAATCATGAACTATGTGTTTTATTTCCCTAACCTTCCCACCCAAATCTTCCAACTACGAACCTATTCAAATAAAAACAGGCCTGTTCACGTTTGATAGATTGGCTACATGTATTATTAAATGAATAATTTACTAAGGTTAAAATATGTTTTCAAAGTTAGGGGAAGTATACACCATTCTTGATTTGAATAAATAGTTAAAATGATTAAAAGTCCCCTAGAATAAACAGTCTGGTTCTATGGGGAGCCATAACCTGCAGACTAACCTTATCTTGATCACGCTCTACCACATCCTAACCAGGTTATGTCTCTATCCTGTTGTAAGACACATATTTTTATCAATGTCCACGCATATTAATATAACAGAGTTTTTATTATTGTACGTTTTTGTGTTAATAAAAGAGAATTGTGTAATAGATTTACTGACCTTCACAGCTGCCATTTCTATGTTTTAATTTATCTTGACAATTTTGTTATCTCAATTGTAGATGATAAACATTGCACTATCTTACTGTGAAAACTTTCTACTTTTCTTTTTTCGATTTTAAAGTTTTTATTGTTTCAATAAGAGGGGGTACAGAAAGAAAAAAATGGGGTGGGAGAGAAAAGGTCACCATCATTAATACTTTTTAAAGAAAAAACAAATATTAAGCAAAAAATAAATAAAAAAAATATTTGGAAAGACACATAGCTTCTGTACAGCATCATCCATTAAGTTCTGCATCTGCCAACATACTTAATATTTTTCATTTATGTTATTCCATTTAATCTATATGTGGCATAGTTTGAATCTTCTTGTTCCTTTGATGTCCAAGTGTAAAGTTATCATATTGCCTTACAGACATTATCCTCTGTGAGACTGCAAGGCAGAATATTGAGACACATGTACAGTAGACGTGCGCAAACATTCATTTGAAGCAATTTCTCTGAATACAACACCTGGTAATCGTCAATTGGTTTGACTGTCGTTTTACCTATGAAGTCTCCAGGTTAGTTCAAGTTAGTTAAATTTGGAACTGATTTGCTCCAATATCAAAAATAGAGATTGTATTTGACAAATAAATTCAGACAATTTTTTGCAGAAGTCTAATATACAGTAACTCTCAGTCCTGTAGCACATGCTGACTGGCTATTTATATTTACTTTTCAATGTTGGTCTTTGTTTATAAATTAGCTTTTTTCTATGTCTACTTATATACTTACATTGTCTTACTGCGATGACTTTGTTTATTCACTTTTTAAATTCTATATACTAACAATGAATTGTATTTTAAGAGATATCTTTTTCTGTATGCCTCCTTTGATACCGGAGAAACTGACGGAAGCAAAGCACAGAGAGATGGACACAGGTTTCTTCAGGAAGGAAGAGATTCTTTATTGGATCACCGATCGGGACTCAGAGGGACTAATGTCACCAAAAATACAGCAAGTTCTGAGCCCGAACAATAGTGCAGGCTCCCTATATAGGCACATAACTCCTCCCATATTAAGCTCCACCCGCACATTCTCTTGACCAATCATTACAAATAAGAATTAACTTCCTGCTTGACCGCATGGCTTGTCCAGCACAATGGAGGAGGGGAATACTACATCCTGTATTCTTGCACATGCTCCGTACACTACTGATCGTATCTTGCCTCGTGCAACCAACTGATCGATACGTCAGCATATGCACGTACACATGCCACGTGGTAATCTCGGCCTACTAAATTTATTTTTACCGAGATTCCACCACATTCCCCCCTTTGATGCCTCTTGATATTTTACAATTACTTGAGGCATCACTTAACCTTGGTTTGCATACACCACAAGTTACCTTTGAACCAGACCAGACTTATCCTATGATGTGAATCTTCAACACTCGTCTTCCTGCATTGGTTCTCCCTGATCTAGAGCCTTATATTTATAAATTGCCATTATCTGTGCAGCAGCCTTCCTCTCTGCTATATTTTCTATCAGGCTTTGCACAGACCTAACTACTAAGGGTATAAGACACGGCAGGAGTAGACACAACATTAAAATCAGTAGGACTCCACCTACCACTGCCTTAAGCCCTCCAAACCACTCATACCAGCTACCAAACCAACTACTTGGATTGTATCCTTTCCATACCTGAGTAGGCACATGCGCTAGTTTAACCATATGGCTAGTAAGCTCAGCTATTGCTTGCCCTTCGTCATCTATTTGAAGACAGCAATTGCTCAGGTTAAACTTCCCACATACACCTCCCTCTACTGCCAAAAGATAATCCAAGGCTAATCTATTTTGGTAAACTGCTGTCCTCATCCTGGTATTATGCTTTGCTAGAAGATTGAGCGCTTGTGATGTCTCGTTAGTAATGATCTCAACCACCGCCTGTAACCTTATAATGCGGTTGAGCATATAAATAGGGGTTCTATAACCAAAGGTACCATCCTCTGCCCACGTGGCTGGCCCATAATAATCTATAATACGCTGGGGAGGCCATTCATTATCTTCCCAGGCACCTATCTCTATGGGTCCCCTTTTCTTCCTATGATTCACATCATACACTTTAACACCTAAAGTCTCACCTGTTTCAATAGGCAACAAGAAGAAGGATGGTTTCAACATACCCAACACACATGCCCCTTCCCAGTCCTGTGGTAACTCCGAATAGGCCTTCTTACCACAGATCCAGTACAAATTCGCTGGGGCTCTCCAGTTAGATGTGATGGATAGATCAAACCATACGTCCTTTAAATTGGCATATCTTGCAAACGGGTTAGATGGTTCTGAGACATTTGAAGCCGACCACCAAGTTGTATTCTTTGTATCATCATCATAAGCTTTTTGCCCTAGACAAGTTAATTCTCCTACAGAAGTATTATACATCATTCCTTTCCTCGCTATGCAAACATAACCTATGATGGAGGTCTTCAATCTCCACTCAGATTTACCTCTAACACTCATATGATAGTCGGCTTGTGTAGATATTAATTGGTCAACTGCCTCAGAACCGGACATTACCTCCTTTGCTTCCCAAGGCCATTGGTCTCCCATGTTAGTACCTCCACACACATAGCAGTTGGTAACATTAAGACTACCGGCAATACTCTCGGCTAAATCAATGAACAAGTTTTTAGCATTATGGGGGATCTTATTATCTATGCTCATCTCTTCATAAAAGGAATGGTATACTTGATGAGTTTGGGAGGTTACCGTATCAGTCTCTATCCCTATAAACAATATTGTCCCAGGGTCTAAACCCGTCCCATATATTTGAAACCCAAATAAATTACCATATTTATCTAAGAACTTGTCAGGGTTATTTATAAGTATATGGATTGGATTGCATTCCATAGACTTACAATATGGATCAGTAGGCAACTTAGTCACAATCATGTCCTTGTCTGCTGTCTGTCCCCAAGTCGCCCACCCCACACAAGACCAATATGGGCAGAAGTTATAATCTCTATTTGGGCATCTTGGACTTACATATTTATTTTTACTACTGGGACAAATATATTTATCGTTAGACCCATACGTCCTCTCCCATCTAAGATCCCCACATACATTCCACGGCTTTCTACCACTTGATATTGCTTTACACGCATCAAATAGCAGAGCACCTGAAGAATATACGGATTTTAATACCGTCTTATTAATTAGGGTCCCCTGAGGATCTCCATTTCTGAGAGTCAACCAAATTGTACGGGGTTGATACTCAGGACTGAAGCACTTAGGTTCTCCTACTCCTAAATGACACACACTATATTCTATATTTAAGTATCTACATCTTGATACATCTCCTTTACACTCATATTGCGAATGCCAAATTAGGGTCTGGGATATATGGTTACCTGTTCTTGTAGTCTTAATGCATACCTCACAGCTAGGAGTGTCGGTACCTCTACCTTCCTGAATATAAAAATACACATAAATAAACATTATTAAGAATACATCTTTCGTTGTCATCCTCAGTCTTCGTCCGTGCGAAGGCACCTCAGCTTCCAGAATGTAAGGGCTGCAGGGAATGGAGTTCTGCTCGTCTTCACAGGGGTCCCCTCAAGACTTTCCTGACTTATACACTCGTTGGTGAGTGGACAGGCTTTATTATGGCCTTCTCACTCACTTACCAAGTCTCTGAAACAATAAAATTTGTAATCCACAAGGTTCCTCGTCACTCCGACTGAGTCGTGCGTTTTAACCGGATCTTGCAGGGATTCTCTGGATCTGCTGTAACTTGCCAAGAATCGGCTGCTGCTGGTTTAACCCTGGAGTGATGTATCCACGGAGTCACTTCGGCTACTTTTATCGCTGTAGGGGTAGACAAAAGAACAACATAAGGACCTCTCCACTTGGGCCCTAACGGCACATTATTCCACTCTTTAATCCACACTTGGTCGCCTGGGTGGTAACTATGAATTGGGGGATAAATATTCACAGGTAATCTATCTTGTACCCATTTCTGTACCTCCTCCATAGTCTTACCCAACTCTACAACCTGCTGCCGGGTAATTCCTTCTCCCAACTGACTCAAATCCCCCCTTAAGTTACCAAGCACGGGAGGTGGTCGCCCGTACATGATTTCAAAAGGAGAGAGGCCCATCCTTCTGGTAGGTGTACTACGGATTCGCAATAGAGCTATGGGCAAGAGAACGTTCCACTTAAGTTGGGTTTCCTGACACATTTTAGCCAACTGATTCTTAATAGTTCTATTCATTCTCTCTACCTTACCAGAACTCTGGGGTCTATATGCCGTATGAAGCCTCCACTTTATACCAAGCATATGAGTCAATTGTTGTAGGCACTGATGAACAAAAGCTGGACCATTGTCCGATCCTATAGAGCAGGGTAGTCCATATCGGGGTATTATTTCTCGTAGCAGGAATCTCACGACTTCTCCTGCTTTCTCTGTACGAGTAGGACATGCTTCTACCCAGCCTGAATAGGTGCACACCACTACCAGCAGGTAGCGATGTCCACCCGATTTAGGCATCACTGTATAGTCAATTTGTAAATCGGACATGGGAAGTCCCCCCATAAACTGGACTCCTGGTGGCTTTACTGGTCCTTGTCTTGCATTATTTTTAGCACACGTTACACATCTACGTACAATGGCCTGAGTCAAGTTGGACAATCTTGGTATGTAGAAATGTTTTCTGAGAGATTCTTCTGTACTGTCTCTCCCAGAATGTGTCCCGTTATGATAGTTTTGGACAATTTCTACCGCTAGTGATGCTGGAATAACTATTCTTCCATCTTCTAACTGATACCATTTGTTCTCCAAATACTTTCCAGGTTCAGTCCTTAACCACTCCTCTTCTTGAGCTGTATAAATTGGAGTCCATTGAGACAGTGGAGTTGGTATAAGAGCAGCTATATGCCCCACATATTCCTGTCTTCCTGATTCAGCAGCACGCTTAGCTGCACTATCTGCCATCCGATTCCCTTTGGTTACATCACCATCTCCTCTCAGATGCGCCCGACAATGTATAATACCGACTTCTTTCGGCTCCCACACTGCTTCCAATAGTTGTAGGATCTCAGCTGCGTATTTGATTTCTTTGCCTTCTGAATTCAATAGTCCTCTTTCTTTATACAAAGCTCCGTGGGCATGAGTGGTTAAAAATGCATACTTGGAGTCCGTGTAGATGTTCACTCTTAAACCTTCAGCCAATTGTAACGCTCGTGTCAGTGCTATCAATTCTGCCTTTTGTGCTGATGTTCCTTTTGCCAGTGGCCGAGCTTCTATCACCTTGTCTATCGTTGTTACTGCATATCCTGCATAGCGGATCCCTTCTTTTACATAACTACTGCCGTCGGTGTAATATTGAACATCAGGGTTCTGGATGGGAAAATCACGAAGATCTGGTCTACTTGAAAATACTTCATCCATTACTTCCAAACAATCATGTTGACTTTCAGTAGGTTGTGGCAAAAGGGTAGCTGGATTTAAGGTATTTACAGTCTCTAAATGCACTCTTGGGTTTTCACACAACATTGCTTGATACTTGGTCATACGGCTGTTACTAAACCAATGATTTCCTTTGTAATCCAACAACGTCTGTACTGCATGTGGAACTCGTACATAAAGTTCTTGACCCAGAGTGAGTTTATCGGCTTCAGCTACTAGCAGGGCGGCTGCAGCTACAGCTCTTAGACAAGGTGGAAGTCCGCTGGCCACTGCATCCAGTTGCTTAGACATGTAGGCAACAGGTCTTTGCCATGATCCCAAGTACTGTGTCAATACTCCCACAGCCATTCTTCTTTGCTCATGTACATACAGGTAGAATGGCCGTGTGTGGTCAGGTAGACCTAATGCTGGGGCACTCATCAAAGCCCTCTTCACATCTTCGAATGCCGTTTGCTGTTCTTGAGTCCATAAGAAGGGGTCGTGCTCTGTACCTTTGATAGCTGCATACAGAGGTTTTGCCAGTATCGCGTAGCTGGGAATCCATATCCTACAGAAGCCTGCTGCCCCCAAGAATTCTCGCACTTGTCTTCTATTCCTGGGTATCGGTATTTGGCACACAGCTTCTTTTCTCTCTGGCCCCATAATTCTTTGACCTTCAGAGATATGGAATCCCAGATATTTGACAGTTGGCAAACACAACTGAGCCTTCCTTCTAGACACCTTGTATCCTGCCTTCCAGAGAATGTGTAGTAGATCGTGCGTTGCTTGCTGACATACTTCCTTTGTAACTGCTGCTATCAACAAGTCATCTACATATTGTAATAATACACACTCTCCTGGGATAGACTCGAAATCTAGTAGATCTTGACTTAGAGCTGAACCAAATAGGGTAGGTGAATTTTTAAACCCCTGGGGCAATCTTGTCCAGGTCATTTGGCGTTTCGAGCCCGTTACAGCATTTTCCCATTGGAAAGCGAAGATACATTGGCTTTCTGCGGCAATTCGGAGGCAAAAGAAGGCATCTTTGAGATCTAAGACTGTAAAGTAAGTAGCCCCGCCCGGAATTAAAGCAAGCAGGTTATATGGATTGGGCACGACTGGATGTATACTAACAACCGCATCATTGACTGCTCTCAAGTCCTGCACAGGTCGATACTCATCTGTACCGGGCTTTTGAACAGGCAGCAATGGGGTGTTCCAGGGGGAAGTACAGAATTTTAGGATACCATACCGTATGAACTTATCCAGATAAGATTGGATGTTCTTCTTAGCCTTCTGCGGAATATGATATTGTCTCAGGCTTACTGGATAAACCCCAAGTTTTAGTTCGATTTTAATAGGTGGAATATTGCGGGCCAGTCCTGGTGGGTTGTTCTCTGCCCAAACTCCTGGTATGTTAAATAAGGATTCATCACTCCTCGGGTTTTGGCTAGTCAACACTGTATAAAGTCGCCACTCTTCTTCCTTTGGTACGGACAATGTCATAATACCTGAAGGTCCATTAAACTTTAAGGATGTTGTTCCATTTGGTAGGAACGTAATCTGCGCTTGTAATTTGGATAGCATATCACGTCCCAGCAATTGGACTGGACACTCAGGCATATAAAGGAATTGATGTTTTACTACGTGGCCTCCCAATGTACAGAGTCGACTTTTAAGAACCGGTTTTTCAGCACTTCTTCCAGTTGCTCCTATTACAGTAATAGTTCTTCCAGATGGAGGAGCAACTAGATTAGTCACCACCGAATGTTCAGCACCAGTGTCGATCATGAACGCACTCCTTTTTCCCCTATTGATACATCGACCATAGGCTCCGCTCGACCAAGGGGGATGGAGCCCGGTCGGTATCAATAGTCCTCCATGACCGTGTCAGCCAATCCCACAAAGTCCCTACCTTCTCTATCGCGGGACCTTTGCGCTGCTGGATAGTACCTATCTTCCCTTACACTTCCTCTGTTCCCATTACTCCCTCTATTACCATTACTCCCTCCGGGGCCTCCTCTACCTCTCGCTCTGCCTCTAAAGTTTCCGTAACCTGCCCTGGGTAAGTCTCTCTCATACTGCTCTCTTTGCGGACACTCGTTCCTCCAATGCCCTTCTTCCTTGCAGTACGCGCACTGATTCCTACTCAAAGGCTCCCTATTCCATCTACCATCGCCTCTATCTGGGCCCCGTCTATCTACGCCTGCGATCG